TCCATTTCTGCATAGCTTGAACACTCATTGAATGTAACATGTCAACAGCTCTGTTAGTTAAAAGCCAGGTGAAACTCTCAAGGTTAGCGCTCCTTATAGTGATCTTTAATAATGCAACTTAAAGAATACCATAGAAAAACAATTGCCTCCAATCCAGTACAGTGCCATGCCACATTAATAAGTAACTCAATATTGCATGAGAGGGCAATGAAAAGGCAAACAGAGGGAATGATATTTCAATGTGATAATTGTTTCCTAGCCGTAATATTTCTCTCCGCACTAAGTAAATAAAGCTGCCATGGCTTCCTGGGGTTGTCAGTGCTCCAGTCCCCAGCTCTCAGGAGCCATCAAACAAGGATGTCTCAAATATTATTTTTTTGGGTGGGAGATAAGGGCTGATCAGTGCACCCCCAGTACTCCAATAACAGTGTTTCTTGTGGGGGTGGGCTTCTGGATGTGCATATGGGGTTGTCCTGTTTTAAAGTGGCTTGGACGCGGGTGGCACTGTGGGTTAAACCACAGAGCCTAGGACTTGCCGATCAGAAGGTCGGCAGTTCGAATCCCCACGACGGGGTGAGCTCCCGTTGCTCGGTCCCAGCTCCTGCCAACCTGGCAGTTTGAAAGCACGTCAAAAGTTCAAATAGATAAATAGGTACCACTCCGGTGGGAAGGTAAACGGTGTTTCCGTTTGCTGCTCTGGTTCGCCAGAAGCGGCTTAGTCATGCTGGCCACAGGACCCGGAAGCTGTACTCCGGCTCCCTCGGCCAATAAAGCGAGATGAGCACCGCAACCCCAGAGTCGGTCACGACTGGACCTAAAGGGTCCAGTCAGGGGTCCCTTTACCTTTACCTCAGTTCACTTAGAGCAATTGGGTTCATTGAAGTAAATGGGGAAGGCATTCAGAGCATGGGCAGACTTTTGTTGGGGGGGCAGAACTGATGTGATTGGTCAGTTAGTTAAGTATTTCTATTGTTTTACTTGATGGGGGGAGCTGCCCCTCCACACACACCCCTTGGCTATGCCCATGACCCAGGGATGGACGAACTGCATCACAACATTTGGATAAGTTCAAATTTTCATAGATAGCTGTATTTTGGTTTGGAGCTATCTATCAGTGAGTGTGAATTAGGTAGGTTCTCATTCAAATGCAAATTGAATTGAATTTCCCTCTCACCCTTTGAACTATGAAGGGTGGTGGCACTGCCAACAGGGTTTCTCCTTGATGATCTTAATACCTGGGCAGGTTTATGTGTTGTATGAAGGAATTTCCCTGTTTGTCCTCAATCTCTCATACACTGATTTCATTGGATGAAATATTTCTTATAGCTACTTTATGCAGGCAATCTTCATACCTCAGCAACACGCATTGACTTCAGCAACATGCATTTGAATAAGAAATTCAAAATTCTATATTCATATAGAAAAGCAAATCTTGGGTTCAGGGTTGCCAACTTGAATAAAATATTGGGGGGCAGATAAGCCCTGCCCCACATAATCGATCACAAGATGTGGTGCACACACCCCATTTGAATGGCAATGCAGGGACCAAAGGAACCTCAGCCCCCAGGAATTGGCTCCTATGCTTGGGCTACACAGACTTGAATTCATACACCGAGTCTCAGCAGGGGAATTGATGAATGGAGTATAGTTGCACTTGTTCCAAACTGCCACAAGGTGGAGCATTCAAATACATTTGGGATGCAGACAATATTACTGTATAATGTTCTTTTCCCCCCAAGAAAAAGGAAGGTAGTTAGAAAAGGGTTGTGCGTTATAATGTGTGGTATACAATTCCTACCTTTTTAATTCCAGTAAACAGGTTCATTGTTTTCCCCCTAAAGCTTAAAAAAATCTGAAAATGTATTTGACCAAAATCCAATATTGGGGGGAAAGAAATATATGTGTGTATGTGTGTAACTGCTTTTAACCCTGTCTAGCTCCAGCTTTACTTAACAAAGCGTATGAATGTATTGTTTTAGGGGGAGAAAATTAATTGACTTAAGTAAAGGTCTGTAATTGTGCACAAACCATAGATTCACTTGATAACAACAAAAGCAACAACAGCAGGTTCTTAAAGCCTGCAATGGCACTGAGAAACAATCCAAGCCTATTTATTTACTTCACTGATAAACACCTAAAATCACTGTATGGACAGCCACTTTTAGAATTTTTTTATTAACCCTCAAAGGGACTGTGGTATTAATGTCAGCTTGAGGAAAAATTCCCAACTCCACTGTTGGGCAAATAATTTTTATTAGGACAGACCAAAAGGTCACAAAATTGTGACAGGCTTTCAAATTCAGCAGAACTTTTCTGCAGGTGAGCTGTCACAGAGAGAAAGGGGAGCTGGGGCTCAGAGGCTTTCTGAGCAGCGAGAGGCAGCTCAGGGGCACCCTTGCACTCACAGGTAGCACAGCAGTGAGCCTGCCTGTAATAATAAATGCTCTAATCAGAAAAGGAACTGAAAGGGTGGCTAGATCCAGCAGCCTGAGGATGCTTAGCATGGCAGCCTGGGGGCAGTGGGGTGTTAAATGGGACCTGTGAGACCTCACCAACCCTGCCCACAACTAGGGTTAACTAAGCACTAAGCAGAAAGAACTAGAGGGCTATATTTGGCTCCTGGGCTTGGGATTCCATCCTTGGTTATATTTTTTTAGTCCTAGCTTTCTGCTGCTTATTCGATCCTGCCTCTGGTTTGCTCCTCAGTCCCTGGCCACTGGCTTGCCCTACAGATTATGACTCCCAGTGCCTGCCTCATCTTAGGCACTGCTCATGGTCCATCCCTGACACCAGGGGACCTCTCAAAACTGATGCCAACCCTGCCTGGAGTAATTTTAAACCTTCATATAAGGTGCTCCAAAGTTCAGTTTCGGTATGTGATCATGCAATTGTGTTAAGGGACCTGGAACTCTGCCAGTAAAAAGAGAGAGAAAGTTAACTCTAAATAAGGTGCCTGCATCATCATCAGTGTTTCCTGAGTCTCCTTTGGTGCAATATTTTATAGCAACACTCCCTGAATTCAACACTGCGGTTACCATTGTACTGAAGATATAGCTCTCTGGTCCAGAAAGATACATAAACAAACAAAAAATGAGGAAAGGGGCATTTAAGTCGGCTCTGCTAGGAACCTTTTGCTCACATAGCCAATTTCACTATCTAAAAAGAAATTTTTGGAACATTCAGTCAGCATGGGGCGGGCGGGGGAGGTTGCTTTTTATATTTGCCTTCCTCATTGCTATCAAATGCTTTAAAAAATGCTCCATCCGATTATGAATTTAGTTGCCAGAAGACAGCCTCTGTGATGTAGTTGTTAGATTGATACAGGAGTGGGGAAGATGAGAGGCAACACTGCACCAGAATGCAGTGGCAAGAAGTGGGGGGGGGGGGAGTTTCTGGCACTGGTGGGAGCAGTGGAGCAGGTGGGAAAACATCCTTTGTTTTTCCACTGCCTGAGGTAGGTGCTTCAACCCACTTTATTGGTGGGCCTGCCCCAGTTTCAGTGAAGGCAAAGTGGAGTGTAGGATGGCAGAGAAAAGCTGAAAGAGTAAGGGAGAGAGAAGGACAGATAGTGACACCCTCCCCCCCCCTGACTTCTGCCCTGCCCACTATCAGCATGGCCCTGACAGATAATTTGTGAAGAATGCAGTCCTTGACAGAAAAAAAATCCCTGTCCCTGAGGGGATATATTGCAATATTTTGTGGCAGCTTCCACTTGCCAGTGGCTATTAGCCATGATGGCCGACCAGAAAGGCAGTATGACACGTGGCAGTTACTGAAGACCAGAAATGTTGCTGCATGAGGTGAAGGACAAGATGGTACCCCCTCCTAATTCAACATTTCAGAGCCAACTGGGCTGGCAGTTGAATCTTATTTTGGTGGGACAGCATTGTCCTCCGCACCTGAGGCAGCAGGCCAGATTAGTGAGCCCTGGAGAGGCCATGTAGCAACACCTGGGTGTTCAGGAGGAATAACCATGACTACCACCTGAGGCAGTTGCCTAATGGTAGGGTCAGCAATCGAAGAGTGGCTGTTGAGAGCCAGTGTGGTGTAGTAGAGTATCAGACTAGGTCCTGGGTGACGAGGGTTCAAATCCCTACTCAGCTGTTAAGCTCACTTGGTAATCTCGGGCCCAGTCACTGTGTTTCAGCCTAACTGACCTCACAGGGTTGTTGTTGTGGTTTAAATGAGGAGGGGGAAGAACCATTTATGTTTCCTTGAACTCCTTGGGGGAAATGATGGGACATAAATGCAACAAACAAACAAACAAACAAAAACACTGCCTTCTTGCCCTACTTAAGGGATGTGTCCAATTGACCACTTTAGGAAAGAAAATACTGCCCTAGATTGGTCCCTAATATGATCCAGCAGGACTCTCTTCATTTGTCTCATGCTTAGGAAGCTGCTTATTCATGTGCCCCTTGCACTCTTTTCAGCAGACTTTGTGAGGGTGAAACAGCCGGTGAAGTGTGCCCTTTGTATTTGACATAATTTTCAGGAAGGAGACAGAAGGCCAGAGGCTTTGCAGGTGTACCTGTGATTTTTTTCCTTTCTATTTTTGACATAACAGCCTTATTTTGGGTTTAGCACAAAGCAACAAAATTTACCCTTCAATGTACAAAAGGTTCTAACTTGTAACAGTGCAGAGATAACATCCAAATATAAGCCATTTGTGTGGGTTTCACGTGGCCTGTTTAAGAATTAACTGGAGCAGGTGTAAGTAGCACCTGCACTTTGGAACACACCCACACCCAAAATCAGAATGGTATCAACATTTTGTTCTTTCAAGTGCCATATATATATATATATAGTCAGACTTTTTAGGGGTAGCATTTTTGGATATTTTTCATGCTGATTTTGCAGAGGGATTTAATGTATTCTTGTTGTTGTAACAGCATTTAGTTTTTTATTTCTTTTTTGTACAATAGTACAATATTTTCAAACTGGGTGGTTTATAAATACAATAAGTAAATAAATGAATCATTTAAGAAAGTTTCAGAGTGGCATGGTGATCTGCAATAGGGCGGTCCTATAATGAAATGGGTACGTTCAATTTTGTAAATTTACAAAAGATTGTAAAATAACAACAAGGCTGTCCTAATTAAAATAAAAATTGGCTGCAATTCTTTTCTGTTCTCTTTCTTACATTTTTAAAAATTGGGACCACACAAAGCAATAAAACAACAAAGTGATAACAAAATACATCAAAACACTAATATATTGCATATTCAGAATATCACTGGGATATACAATTTATTCCTGTATTGTGGGGGGCTGGACTAGGTGTCCCTTCCAACTCTACAATTCTATTATTCTAAGACACAGAGGATTATGCTAGCAAATGCAGAGACCATAAATCAGTTTGGGGATTTTTACTCTGGGTGCCAGCTTTGACAGTCAGGTGAGGCAACCTATTTCTCAGTCATATTGTGTCATTATGATATCACAGGGTTGACAGCTGGGTTGTCCTCCGCACCCTGTTAAAATCCCTTGCGTGGGATCCCCAAACTCGGAAACCACAGTGCAAGGGGCTTTGTCAGCCTAATTTCAGGGGTTGAAAGGAGCAGCGGGAAATGGCTCACAAAGCCCTTTGCAAGCCTCAAAAACTGGAGGTTGAAATGAGCAGCACACTGTGGTTTCAAAGAGCAGTCTAAGAAGGAGAAGCAGTTTATATTGATTCTAAACTTCTTTCCACTTCTTGAGCAAGGCATGCTCCTATGGCCCAGTGGGAGCACACCTTTTGCCAGCAAAGGAGCAATCAGCAGCCCACTCTAAGTGGCTGGTTGTTCTTTTGAAGCCCTGCCCTTACCTGCTGCACATCTGACATCCAGTCATTGCATATCCTGTAACTTCCTGCCAAAATCCATAACTGGTTTATTTATGTCCTGCTTTTGTTTTGCCGTAGCCCCCCTGGACAGGCAGCAATAATGTGTTAACAATAGGGAAACATTGCAGAACCAAGAAAAAAACAGAATAAATTCACCACCCGTGCACTAATATTATGTCAACCATATGTTGCAGAATTCTCCTGCAATAAAACAGCGGTCTTTTCTGGATTAGAAAGGTCCTTGGATGGCAGTTTGTGTTACTTCACTTACTGCAAAATTGCTGAGTGGGGCCTTGGACATTTGCCCCAAAGCCTTGTTCTGACAGCACCACTGAATGCTTTGCAGCAGAGGTGGGGACCTGTGGGCACTCCAGATGTTGCTGAGCTCCAGCTCCAGTCTTCCTTGGCTATCAGTCATGCTGGGTGAGGCTGATGGGAGATGAAGACCAACAAGTAGCCAGTCATTTTAACCATCGTTTTGTACTGCTTTTCATTGTGTTTTATCATTGTACACTGTCCTGATTCATCATATGGTAGCATACAGGGTGGCCCCTAGGTAGGTATACTGCTTTAGAATCCACTTTCTTTGTTCTTGACTCATGTTCACTGTCATCAGTCACAGTATCAGTAAAGAAAAATAATCCTTTTATCTGACTCCACTGTTCTTTCCAACTACCAACCTGAAATTTAACTGCCACTTTGTTGTGTGCCACTAATGTGTACCCATATAACCTGTTGTGATGAATTTCATTTATTCAACTGTATACCTACTTTGGGGCCACCCTTTATAATGCCTTTATAAACAAACAAACAAACATATGATAGACCACAAGTTCTCAATATCTGCTTCATAGTTTTGTTCTCCTGCCAAACTTGTAAACCACCATTTCCCCTTTTTTACAAATGGAGACTAGGGAACAGCATTATCTTTGGGGAAACCCCAGTGAATTCACATCTTCCATATCTGAATCCAGTTGTCTGTCCACACTGTCTCTCCCATAGGGATGAGGGAGAAACTCAATTTAGTTTGCATTTAAAGATGAATCTATACCTAATCTTCACTTTCCAAAACAATACATGAAACAAGAAAACAGACATTGTTCACAATTCACACCTTCCTTCCTTCCTTCCTTCCTTCCTTCCTTCCTTCCTTCCTTCCTTTCTTTCTTTCTTTCTTTCTTTCTTTCTTTTTAGCAATTCAGTACTCCATTATGCACATTTTGGGGGAGAGTGAGCATAAAAATGAATGTACCCATGAAAACAATATACACAAATGGATTATATGAAGTTACACAGCTTTCCAAAATGTGTATATTAGACAAAGTGCATACAAGCATATGCATATTATGAAAAATTTGCATTAAAATGATGCTGAATTTAACAAGGACTAATTTTCCCCCACTAAGCAACCACTGACTCTTGTAGACATATTTTTCCTCCTTTGTGGAGGGAAATCAACCGATGACTAGTTTGCAGGGAAAAAATTTTGCTTGTGCCATTTCAGCTGCTTCCCTCATCAACAGGCACCCTCGTCATCAAGGTACTTTCCCTGGTGTGGACAACAAGGAGTGAGATAGAGCAAAAAGTTGCCTATGGCAGGACAGCAACCTTATTCCTCTGCCTCACTACATTCCAGGCAGTTTTTAGCCCTAACTAAAACAAACCGACCAAGGAGTTGTCCTTTTACTCCGGGTGAAAGGTGAGACACTGCACTGCTAGAGCCACCAAGCAAGAGGCCATTGGGAAATCAAGAGAAGCCCAAGGATAAAGAAGGTGGGGTGGGGTGGGGTGGGGTGGAGGTGTTTGACAGGTAAATCTCTGCTCAGCCGCACGAGGGCCAGGAGATTGGACAGGGCCGTCCGCAATTGCTCTCCAGCATAGCTATTCCTCGGGGCCAACAATGCACAGGACCAACAGATTGATGAGAGAAGAAGGAGCAAGCTGGTTCATCTTGCCCACTTGTGGCAGAAACAAAAGGGTTGCTGGAAAATGGAGCCCCTGAGGGTGGCGTCAGTGCCAAAGGCAATTGAGAGGGAGAAAGAAAGGTCTCCAGTGACACCCCTGAAAGCCAAGGTAAAACATGTGGTGTTTTGGGTTTCTTTTGCTTGGTTCAGCCGAAATCCAGTTTCTTGCAGTATTTCTTCATTTCCTTATGAATTTAGTAGAAGTATTGGTTGGCTTTCCCCACACCCCATATATATGTTTTTAAATTGCAACAATAGTAGGGTTTTTTTGGCAATTGAGAGAGGGATTCTGTATTGGATTTCTTTGGGAAGTATTTTCCTAGACACTTGATTCTTTGGCCAAATTGGTCTCTGGTGCAATAACACCACTGGGCTCATGACAGGTGGAAGAAGCTGTTGTGCAGTAAACCCAGCTGTCTATTCCAGAATAGCCTACTTCAACTGTCATCTATCTTTCACAGCCCTGGCACCTCAGATTTTTTAGCTAGAGGTTCTGGGGTTGGAACCTGAGGTTGGAACCTGAGACCATTATTTTTAATGTCTTGTGTGAAGGATGAAATAGTATCACAAACACACACATGCTCCATATACAGAAGCTGACTGGTGGCAGAGCATCTGCCTTGCATGCAGAAGGTCCCAGGTTCGGTCCCCGGCATCTCCAGGTTGGGCTGGGAGAGACCCTTGCAAATCTTGCTAATGTAAATTATTGCAAAGCAACTTCTCCCATTATAATGCATTTTTGCATGCTGTTTTCACTAATGTATGCACTTTGATGCAGACTTTATAAATGCATTGTTTTACGTGTTACTTGTGGTACTCTACTGAAAAATTTGAGGTAGTATGCATTTAGAAATATGGTTGTGTTCTGGTTTGTCAGGAAGAGTGGATTTGGTAGGTTCGCCTTTAAATGCAGACTGAATCCAATTTCCCACCCATCCCTATGCAAGGATGACCTGGCCTGAGACATGCATATGGGAGGAGAGCATAGGCACTACCATTGAGTTAGTTATCCCAGAACCAAATGCCCAACACCCCTTCACTGCAGTTCATTAGGCCCAGGGAAGATCTACAGGTTCAGTGGCAGAGCATCTGATTCATAACCAGGAGGTCCCAGGTTCCATCCCCTGTATCTCCCGGTAAGACTAGGAATGTCACCTGTCTGAAACAGCAGAAAGCTTCTTGCCAGTGGGCAGTGTGTGGCTTATGAGAGGAACTTTGCCTTTGAAATGGCCCTTAGCTCACAGTCATTTGGCTTATTTCTATAGGGCAGGATTTGTCATGGAAACTTTAAAAGCTATTGATGGAATGTCTTGCGATTCAGTGCTTTTTCAATTCTCCACAGTGTTTGGTTAGCAGAATACAGTAATTACATAGGTGTATATGTTGGGGGATTTGCCCCCCCCTTTCCTTTTTACTATGTTGCACAATTGGTAATCTCAGTCAGACTCTTCTCCTTTTTCTTCAGCTACACAGTTCTCCAATTGCAAAAGAAGCAATATTTATCATTATATGATTTTCCTGTAAAGGTGAGGATTTTCCTCACTTCTCAAGTCACTTTTCAGTCTTGAAAACAAATTATTTTAATAATAATAATTCCACATCTGTATCAAAAAGATACAAGTGGGAAAAGAACAGGGTGGAGAACATTGATAAAAGAGCTTTCATTATCTGTACAGTGGTACCTCGGGTTAAGAACTGAATTCGTTCTGGATGTCTGTCTTAACCTGAAACTGTTCTTAACCTGAAGCACCACTTTAGCTAATGGGGCCTCTTGCTGCTGCGCCGCCGCTGCACGATTTCTGTTCTCATCCTGAAGCAAAGTTCTTAACCCGAGGTACTCTTTCTGGGTTAGCGGAGTCTGTAACCTGAAGCGTATGTAACCTGAAGCATATGTAACCCAAGGTACCACTGTACTGTATTCCCTTCGCATGCATAAGAACTAATATATGCCTCTCACAACTAGCCATTATAATCAAAATATTGCTGTATTGGATGAGTTCTCCTGTTCCAGACACTCCATTCAATTCCTCCTCCCAGTTTTTCTCCTCTCTCCCCACCCCACTTAAAAAATAAAAGAAGCCAATATTATGTGGCTACTCATCATGTTCAGTCCTTGTTGGACTGTTTCAGGGGTTTTCTTCCCTTTAGGCCCACCCCCAAACATATTTTTTGCACTTATGCAAACTTCAGGGCTTCCCCTAGTTGGCTGATTCCTCACTCTTATTGGGCTGCTTTTGACCGCATAGATGAAAACACTTAAACAGAGGGAGCATTATTACTACTCTGGCGGTGAAACTGTCATAGGCCTATCGAATGCATGGCTATGGCAAGATTTGAACTATGGCATGGGACTTCTGATCTCAAGTTCTTAGCAATAACCACCACATTGCACCATTTCTGTTGGTTTCCTGTTGCAATATGGGAAAACACCCACAGCATCAGGGTGACCCAGGCTTACAGTCAAAGAGCCTAAGAGAAGTAATCTGGGCTCGCAACAGAGGCAATTTCAGGTTCTGGACGGAATGCCCCTACACCCCTATGTAGATCTTAAGAGCTTTCTGATGCTTGAGGTGCTAGGCCAAGCTTCACCAACCAGCCACAAGCTGCCTGGGGCTATTGGGAGTTGGAATCCAAAAGAGCTGAAAGTCACTAGGTTGGTGAAGATGGTGCTAAAATGAGAGCCAAGTGACATGTCCTTCTTTGTGCACTGGTTTGCTGCTTATGTTTGAAGTAGAGAGTAGCCTGGCAGAGTCAATTCCAGGATTAAGGGGGATTCTCGGTCTAGTGTTTTATGATCAATGGCTTAGTGGTTGAGCAAATGCTTTGCAGATAGAAGGTCTCAAGTTCAACCCCCAGCATCTCCCATGTCTAAAACCCTGGAGAGCTTCCAGTAGTCAGTGGATACCAGGGATGCGGACCTTGTGCGCCTCCAAAACTTGTTACAGTTGAATTCCCACCAGCCCCAGGCAGAATGTCCAGTGGTCAGGGGTGATGTAGTCTGACGACATACAGAAGGCCACAAGTTTCCTATTCCTGGTGTAGATGATATGGAGCTAGATGGCCCAACAGTCTGAATATGTAAAGCATATGTGTACCTCCTGGTTGAAGAAAGGTGGTAGCTCAGTGGTAGAGAACATGGTAGAATGTCACAAGTTGAGTCCCTGGCATCTCCAGATGGAGCTGGTTAAGACTCCTCTGAAACCCTGGACAGACACTTCCAATCAGTGTAGACAGTACTGACCTGGATGGGCCAGGAGTCTGACTAACCTTAAGGCAGCTTCCTATGTGACCTGGTGTTGGGCAGTTGGAGCAGTGATGATCCAAAGGGTGTTTGCAGCAGCTTGAAGTCACCATATCCTACAATCTCCTGCAGTAATTTCCTGTAGAATATGTAATGAGAGCATGAGGTGAGCCTCCCTGGGAAGGCCATTCCACAAGCAGGGAGCCACTACAGAAAAGGCCTGTTCTCATGCTGCCACCCTCTGGACCTCTCTTGGAGGAGAGGGCCTCAAAAGATGATCTAAAGGTCTGGGTAGATCATATGGGGAGAGGCGGTCCTTGAGGTATTGCAATTGGTGTTATATGCTCAAACCATCCTGCCCACAACCTGGCCACTGAATCCTGCACCAGCTGAAGTTTCTGAACAGTCTTTAGAGCCATGTTCTTACTTTTTGTGTCTACTGACATCAGGATTCTGACTTCAGTAGGGCCCAGAACTGGGTGAATATGTACATTTTGGCTTCTCTCAGCTTCTCCTGTTTTTTTAAAAAATCTTAAATTCAGTTATTCACATTTCCACACCAGTCTGTGAGATACACACACACACTTCATGAAAATTCATCAGCATTTAGTGCAAATGTATCCTAATATATACATCTTGGAAAGCAATTTTACCACTACAATGTATTTTGTATGTTTTTTCCCATGAATCTGCCTTTTTATGTGCACATTACCTCAGCATTTTGGTACACGTGGTACACGACATTTTGTACACATCCACCCGATGCTGTGGAATACTCTGCCAATAGAGATTCAACAGGTGCCTCCTAAATCAGTCCTTAATCAATTCTGTTCAGCTAACCTTATACATCTTTCAGAAAAGCTTATAATTTTATGTGGTTTTATACTATATAGATATTATTGTTAACCACTTTGATATTTTTCATGCTATAGCAGTGTGTGTGTGTGTGTGTGTGTGTGTGTATGAATGAAAATGAACAAAAGTGATTTGTTGGCTGGAGAACTGCATTGCAAAATCTGGAGACGTGCATTTCAAAGGATGGCTGCATTTTGGTTCTTGTATTGATTCAGGAAGTGTGGGTTAGCGAGATTCTCCATTAAAAGTGAACGGAACAGATTTTCTCCAACATCCCTAGTAGCACAAGGGCTGTGGAAGTTTCCAGGGCAGCGGAGAGGGGGAGTTCAACATTAGATCATCATACTCCATGTGGTGATATACATAACAATGTGTGCATGTGGTATGTCAAAAAAATCAGTGTCGGAGCTGGTCTGTGAAGCTGGTCATCACTTCTCTTGTGGTTCCTGCTGCCTCAACTGTCCCCTGCTTCCTGCAGAGGGCAGCAAACCACAAGAGCAGGCACTCAAGAAAGCAGCCTACCTGGGAACTTTCCTTAGTAATATAGATACCATGAGCTTCTTGTTTTAAGCACCAGGCACCAGGCTGGTACGATATGAGGAAGATGCCAGTGCGAGATGCCTTACGGTTCTTGCTAGGAACTTCTTTCCCTCTTCCTTGCTCCTCCTTTGGGCTCTCTCTGCAGGCAGGGCCATGCTAGTTCTGTGGAAAAATAAATTGTAATCCCCATATTTGGGGGGGGGGTACGTAAAGCCACAAATCCCCAGAATGGGGTGGCAGCAAGGTGGAGGGCTGCTTACCTGAATTTGGGAATACAGTGCAAGGGCTCTGGGGCAGTTGTGATCTTGGTATATCGTGATGTTTAGCTGGTAACATATCACAATGTTGTACACCAGGCACCATTTCATTTAGTCCATCTTCTGTTCCTATCACGATCTGTCATAAAATGGTGCTTTTGCATCCCTCAGTGAAGGCAGTGCCCGGGCTCTGGCAAGTCACTGCCAGGGCTCTGACCACATCCGGGAAGCCTCACCCTGCCCTTCCAAAGCCGGAAGCTAGGGAAGGAAAGACGGGCTCTAGGACCTGCCAGAGCCCTAGAGCTGGCACCTTGTTTTGCTGCAATGCGGGGATCCGGCACAGGGATCTGAAGTGGTACAAAATTACGAAGATTCATAATCGAGAAGTTCCATTTAGGCGTGCCACTTATTTGCTTAAAAGATTATTAAAATCTGTCCATTTTATCCCCCTTTGGGAAGGCAGTCTGAGGGATCTGGGGTGTTACCAGAACCCCGGCAGTGCTTTCCCAAAGCTGGGAAAACCTCATTTGATCCTAGCTTTGGTTTCTTTATTTAACTGCTCTACACACCTTCACTGGGACCCCTGCCCCACCTCCCCTAAACCCTGCAGGCTGCTGCCCAGCTCTGCCTTTTGAACAGCCACTGCCCTCAGCCGGAACTAACTCAGAAGCTGCTGCTAGTGCTGTGGAAAAATAAACTGTGATTATTTGCTTCTAAGTTGAAAAAAATTAAATCAACCCTTCCCCTGTTGTCTAATTTCAATTTTTAATTTAAGAGAAAATGTGCTGATGTAAAAAAACTATCTGTACTATAAAATATGTATCCATATGTTAAAGTATAAGTTTGTGATCTCAGTAAATCGCGATGTTTAGCTGGTTACATATCACAATGTTGTACACCAGGCGCCATTTCATTTAGTCCATCTTCTGTTCCTATCACGATCTGTCATAAAATGGTGCTGTTGCATCCCTCAGTGAAGGCAGTGCCCGGGCTCTGGCAAGTCACTGCCAGGGCTCTGACCACATCCGGGAAGCCTCACCCTGCCCTTCCAAAGCCGGAAGCTAGGGAAGGAAAGACGGGCTCTAGGACCTGCCAGAGCCCTAGAGCTGGCACCTTGTTTTGCTGCAATGCGGGATCCGGCACAGGGATCTGAAGTGGTACAAAATTACGAAGATTCATAATCGAGAAGTTCCATTTAGGCGTGCCACTTATTTGCTTAAAAGATTATTAAAATCTGTCCATTTTATCCCCTTTGGGAAGGCAGTCTGAGGGATCTGGGGTGTTACCAGAACCCCGGCAGTGCTTTCCCAAAGCTGGGAAAACCTCATTTGATCCTAGCTTTGGTTTCTTTATTTAACTGCTCTACACACCTTCACTGGGACCCCTGCCCCACCTCCCCTAAACCCTGCAGGCTGCTGCCCAGCTCTGCCTTTTGAACAGCCACTGCCCTCAGCCGGAACTAACTCAGAAGCTGCTGCTAGTGCCGTGGAAAAATAAACTGTGATTATTCCTTTTGGTGCTAGTGTATGGTTTTGTCAGGGCAGGATGCTGGGTGACAAAATCTGAGTCTCCACTCAGCTGAATGTGGGGGGAAATGTGTGGAGGGCTGGTTACCTAACTTTGGGATGCTGTACCCCAGAGGTCTCCCATCTGTCATAACTCAGAAGCTCAGAACTCAGAAGCTAACTCAGAAGCTGCTGCTAGTGCCGTGGAACAATAAACTGCGATTATTTGCTTCTAAGTTAAAAAAATTTGAATTAAACCTTCCCCTGTTGTTTAATTACTTCGACAGTTTTAACTTAAGAGAAAATGTGCTGATGTAAAAAAGCTATCTGTACTATGAAAAATGTAACCATATGTTAAAGTATAAGTTTGTGATCTCAGTAAATCGCGATGTTTAGCTGGTTACATATCACAATGTTGTACACCAGGCGCCATTTCATTTAGTCCATCTTCTGTTCCTATCATGATCTGTCATAAAATGGTGCTTTTGCATCCCTCAGTGAAGGCAGTGCCCGGGCTCTGGCAAGTCACTGCCAGGGCTCTGACCACATCCGGGAAGCCTCACCCTGCCCTTCCAAAGCCGGAAGCTAGGGAAGGAAAGACGGGCTCTAGGACCTGCCAGAGCCCTAGAACTGCTTTTCAGAACCTGGCACCTTGTTTTGCTGCAATGCGGAATCCAGCAGTTTTCCTGCACATGGTGCGGAGCTGTCACCTCCTTCTTAGAGCCCCGTGCTCTGGGATGCCAACAGAGCCATGGCCCCACCTTCATATGATTGAGTTTTGCTCAGGTGTGTGTGTGGAAATGGGGGAATAAATAAATGCAGTGTGGGATTCCTTCACTGTCCATTTTTTTATTTACTTTCCCTTGCACCTCCTGCACTGGGACCTTAGGACCCTGGACTCACCAAGAGCCATGACTCGCTTGGAAGCCACCGCTAGTCCCATGGAAGAAAGAACTGGGGTTATTTACTTATGAGGTTAAGAAAATAAAAATAAGCCTTGTATTGTTGTTTAAGCCTATTTCCTCCGTTCTCCTCTGTGTGTGTGTGTGTGTGTGTGTCTGTCTGAGTCTCCTGTTTGACTATTAGGGAGCACTCTCTCACCTTATTTTGATATCTATGCTACTAATTGCATCTGTAGTTTTAATGTTGGGAAAAATGTTGCCCTGCATCTACATAGTCCCACCCTTATTTCAACATCATGTTATATTGGCATATCACAGTGTTTAGCTGTTGACACATTACAGTGTTGAAAACCAAACATTGCCCAGCCTTCATTGCAGTGGATTTAGCGTCTGAACTATGTTTATGTAGGATGCTCATTTCAGTTTGTCAATCTTGATGCCTTTTCAATCAGCAGAACCTCATATATGATAGAATACATTGCCTGTAGCGATCTCCTTTTCTTGTAGGGTACAATACTTCTGAGATACTTAGCACTGATTCCAGTCCATTATTCCTGTTCTCATTTCTACATAGTTCTATATTATTTCAGCCAGCCCAAAAATCCCAACTGTGCCCCTAGTGGTGAAACCTGTGATGCGCATAAGTTCTTAATCATACAAAAAGGTACGACTGAACTACTTTGCTTAATTGTCATATTTCTAATGACTATTTCTGAGAAATGAGGTCACCCTGCATCTGGTGGCTTTTAGGGGCTGCTGTTTTGTTACCTCTGAAGAGCCACCCCCTTATCTCATTTTAACCTACTACTCTCTCTCATATCGAGGGGGTTTATGAAGACTGATCACTTCAGTGCTGCTAATACCACCGAGCCAACATTAAGGGTGGATCTTTATTGTGCATATCCCTTTGCCTCAGGCTTATTACCCACCAGTTAGTTAGTGTTTCAAGAACAGAAGTAGGTGGCAGAGTGGAGCATATGCTTATGAACTGTGGACCCACTATTTATTTTGCTGCAAGTATATCTTTATCTGTCACTGTGTCAGGACAGGACACTGGGAGACAAAATTTGGGGTCCCACTCAGCTGAATGTGTAGAAGGATCCAGTATATGGGATAAAAATGTGTAAAGCCACAAATTTCCCAGTACAGACCCCAGAAAGGTGTGGGACAGCTTACCTGACTTTGGGAAGGTGGTGCAAGGGCTCTGGCCATGTCCCAGAGTCCTCCTGCCAAAGCCCAATAAGCACTTGTGCAGCTAGTGGAAGGGCTTTAGGACCCTGTTGGAGCCCTGGAACAAGTGCCTTGATCCACTGCAGGGCTGAAGTGGTGCCAGCAGTATTTTTGTACAGGGCGCTGAGCTGGTGCAAAATTAAGAAATTCCACTTGGTGGCGCCAAATATTGGTCTTGCTCTGGCCGCCATTTTAAGAAGTATATTTTGTCTAGTCCATTTGTAATCTGTCACAAAGTGCGCCAGTACAGACCGATATTTGGTGCCTCCAAGTGGATTTTGTAAATATTTAACCATCAAAATCCTAGTAATTGTTCACCCGTCCCCCCGCCCCGCTTTGGGAAGGAGATAAGGCTGGCACTGCCTTCCCAAAGCCAGGACCTCATAAGAGAAGAAAGCCCTTTCCCCCTTGCCTCCCAAATTGCCCCAAGTTGCTCCCCAGTCTTGTCTGTTGAACAGCTGTTGCCCTCAGCTCCAGCTTTCTTGGAATCTGCCAGTGGTCTGCTTGTGCTGTGGAAGAATAAACATGGATTATTTACTTTTGAGTTAAAAATATATTTTTGTGTGTGTTTCTGTGCCCCCATCCTGTCTACCAGGGAACCATCTTTCACCTTACTTTTGATATCTATGCTACTAATTACTTCTGCAGTTTTAATATTAGAGAAAATGTGCTGATTTAAGAATTATATGTACCATAAAAAACAATTGCAAAAATATGTTAAAGGTAAGTAAAAAATTATAAATTTAATACCCCATGAGTAGTAACAGGGGTTAACAAGTTTTTGGCCCCATGTAAAGCCTACAGAGGGGGGCTATTGAGGCTCCAGCCTGTGTGTGTATGTGATCACAGATGTGAGTGGGGTGTGTGCCAAACTGGGTCTTTGACCCAGAAGAAATAAAGCCTAGTTTTGCCCCTGCTCTTCTCCTCCAAATAATTCTGCCCTTATTTCAGATATAGTGTGATATTGGTATATCTTGATGTTAAACTGATAACGTATCAGCTGATAAAATATCATGATGCTGAAAACCAGGCATTGTACCAAGCTGAGGCGATGTCAAATTATGAAGATCCACTTGGGGCGCCAAACATTGAACCCACACCTGCCGACATTATATGAAGTATATTTTGTCTGTAATCTGCCATTACCTGACACCTTGAGCGAGGCCAATATTTGGCGCCACCAAGTGGATCTTCTAAATGTTACACCACATCAGTAAAGGCGGTGGGAGGGCTCAGGGAAGGCAGGGCTCAGGGAAGGCACCGCCTTCTCAGAGCCCTGGCACCACCCTCCTAGTCATAGCTTGCCCAGCTTTGGTAAATGAAGAAGGGCTCTAGGACCATGCCTGAGTCCTGGAGCTGTTTTCTCAGAGTCAGCTGTCGTTCCATTTTATCTGTCTTTGGGAGGGCGGTGCGAGGGTTTACATACGCTTCAGGTTACATATACTTCAGGTTACAGACTCCGCTAACCCAGAA